GACCGGAGCCCGACCCGAGCCTGAACCCAGCCCGACTGGACCCGAGCCATCAGCTGGGTTCGGGCAGAGAATCAAAGCTCTACTCATGTCAGACATTAAGTCATCTTTCAAAACAAAGCTCTTGGCAGGGTTGTCTGCAGCCTCGTGGTTCAATCCACTGACTCTGGATTCACTCTAGGTTATGTCATAAGAAATGGAAGCACCTGTATGAACTAAATTTAAAAGTGGGCAGGGTCCGGATTAACCAATTTTTAAATCTGAAAGGAGAATTTCCACCAGTAAGAGCAGAAACTGACTATAGCATTAAAAAGCATTATTGCAATACTATTAGTAACTGATGCCTACGTTTAGCTGAAACCTTCTCTCTCAGTTAGTTATGTTTTTTCCAACTGTTCTTGGTAATTTGTATCTGTTTTTAGTCTTAACCTTTCGTACCCAGAGACCAGAGCTCTGTGGTGAAATTCTTTGGCAGTTTTGCCTTCAACAGGAAGAGGAACGTACTAGAGCTGGAGATCCGTCAGGACTACACGTCATCTGGAACTCAGAAATATGTGGTGAGCACTGACATACAGCGTGTGGAATGAGTGTGCTGTCTGTGTTGAGAGCGGATGAAAGTCCATTTCTAAAAGTTGTTTTTTTACAGCACTGCACAGGTTCAAATGAGAATTTTGAATTATTGTCATGGTATACAGCTTGCCAAATAACCAAGCCTGCATGCCACAGATTGCTGTAAATAATCCAGCACCTCTTAAAGCTGCAGTTGCAGTTGTCTTTACTTCCCAACGGCAGCAATAAATACATTGAATGCTCTAAGGGACAAAAAAGAAAAAGATCTGTTACTTGTAACTGTTGGAGGCCTTTAATTAGACCAGCCAATCATTTCATATGGCCTGAATGAAATGACTGCCTACCTTACTATGGATGAAAATGTGTTTTGGTAGTCAGAAGGGAGGGGATAGGATTTTTTCACATGGATGCTTTTAAAATCGAACTATCTCTTGCTAATTTCTCCAATGTTACCTGCTCTACCTTTAAATTATTTCAGTTTCTTTTCGTTCCTGCTGTGTGGTTCACACTCCTAAATAGTAGGTGGCATTAATGCACCTTAACGCTGGTGGCCCTTTAAAACTAAGTGTTATAGTTCAACGTAATCAATTTTCAAGATGTCTCAATCATTTACTTATTATGAATTCTTTTGGCCATGATAATTGTGTAATGAAAATCTTATATTGGGACAGTCCTACTTACAGTATTAGTCAATGAATGCATAGGTTTATTAAAAATCACTGAACATTTAGAGTTTGATGGTACTCCAAGGATGCTTTTATAGTGCAGAGCAACAGAAAAACAATTTAAATTCCTATCTGTGATCTTCCACGTTCCAAATATGTCACAAACATTGTGGTTCTTCATAAAACAGACTTTTTTTTTCCATTTTAAAACCAACACATAAATTAATCTAGTAATATTAGAGATGTTAGAAAGGGGAAGAAGTATAGTTATATTTACTTCTTTAAATATGACTTTGGCTGGGCTTGCAGGGTCCTATCAAGGTGACAGTGCAGGAGCTGGATGGATCCTTTAACCACACGCTGCAGATAGAGGAGAACAGCCTCAAACATGACATCCCCTGTCATTCCAAGAGCAGACGGTACACACTATAGCAGAACACGCTCCCTCATTCATTTTCTCATAGTCACTATTGTATTTTGCAAACTTAATTTTATTATTTCACTATAGTATTATTACATTATGTACTATACTTAATTATATCATTCCTATGTTCATGTTATATATGACATGTATATGTCAACAACAAAGAGTTTTTAATAAATGAATCTCTTTCCTCAGGAACAAGAAAAAGAAGATCCCTCTGATGAATGGAGAGGAAGTTGACATGGATTTATCAGCCATGGAGTAAGAAATCACTGTTGTCATTATTTGATGTATTATCTTAGAATTGAGTTATTGTGCTATCATTATATTGATACGTTATAAGTGAGTCAGATGTTGTTTTTTTCTTGGTGTATGACATATTTCACTGTTGTATTATATATATATTATATTTCAGTTTTTCCTAAAACCCAAGATGATGTCCTCAAATATCTTGTTTGTCCACAACCCAAAAAACTTTAGTTTACTGCCAAATATTCACATCTGAGAAGCTGAAATTAGAGAATTTTTAATGACAACGATTAATGGTTTATCAGAATAGTTAGCAGTTAATTTAATAGTTGATAACCAATCAATTACTCAACTTATCATTGCAGCTCTACTTCACATTTGCATGTTACACATCACACACACCTTGTTAAGGCGTATGAAAGCTCTGATAGATGTCTGGGAACCAGCTTCTATGGCTACCTGGAGGCACCTTACTTTTCCTTCCCTCACTGTGTTTGTCTCCTGTTACGCCTGCAGCGCGGACTCCCCTCTCCTCTGGATCCGGATTGACCCGGACATGTCAATTCTGAGAAAGGTGGAGTTTGAGCAGGCTGACTTCATGTGGCAGTATCAGCTGCGCTATGAGAGGGACGTGGTCGCACAGGTGGGCTAATGGCAGCCGTTCAGTTCTCCACACTGGCCTTTGTTTTAGAACTTTTGTAAACTCATTTTCCTATATATGTTGCAGTTTGCTCAGTTTTTTACCTACAGCTAAAGCAGATCACCACACTCCTAATGTGTGCCTCTAGTAGGAATTGTATGAAAAGCTGTTGAACCACATTCCTAGCCTCCAGTTTGAAGTTCATCAGATGAACATGTCTTAAGTAGTGATACCAACCAATTACAATCCTGCATTCTAAATGTCACTTAGGTACAAAAGTATTATCAGCAAAATGTACTCGGTATCAAAAGTAAAAGTATTTGTCAAAAAGATGTTATTGTATATTGTTGTGATATCATTATATTAATGAACCATTATTATCGATGCATTCACATGTAAACAGAACTTTAATTTCATAGTACATGGAGCTAATTTTAACAGCTTTATATACTTTTGTGTAGTTAAATCTATAACACATTATATTTTATATATTAATCATGATTTTATATATTCCAATGTGAGAAAAATAACTAGTACTTATAGCTGTACCTTAAAATTATACTTGCACAGCCTTTGAGTAAATGTACTTACTAGAGTTACATTCTACCACTGACCTTATCTCTGTGCTAGGAGGAGGCCATCTCAGCATTGGAAAAGTTCTCAACTCCTGCCTCCAGACTGGCTCTGACCGACATCCTGGAGCAAGAACAGTGTTTCTACAAAGTCCGCATGCAAGCCTGCTTCTGTTTGGCCAAGGTGAGTGTGTGTGTGTTTGTGTTTGTGTGTGTGTGTTTGTATGTGGAGCATGATGGTTTTAAATGGTGATTTTGACCAAACGAATGATCTTGTTTGAAATGAACTCTGTAGTCTTTATCGCGGATGCACATGTAATATGAATAAACATCACCTCAGGTGTCAGTAAATCCTAACTCATACTGCAGCAAAAACCTCCACTGGATGCAAAGTTGACAGCGACTCTTCACTGACATGGATCATATTGTCAGAAAGGTGTAACCGCTTTCACCTCCAGTCCTTCACAATAAATGTGCACCATGTTATCATGGTCTGATGTTTCTGTCTGATGTCAGAATTTAAAATAACCAGCGGTGGAGTGAACTGTTTAATTCACTGGTTTTTACATGTCACATGGCACTTTTTAGCTGATGTATCCATGAGCATAATCTCCTCTGAAACAGATGATCTCAAGGAATAACACCATGTTTCCAAATGGCCACGACCTGGTGTTGTGTTTTGCTTATACTCAACAAATATGTCAGAGGTTACAAAACTGTGGTTTAAGGTGTGCTGTGGAGTGGGTGCACTTTAGTGGGAAAACAATCTGGTCATGTTGAGTTAGGTTTTCATCTCGACTGGTTTAATTTGCTCTGATATTAATGAACTTCAAAATGGCAATAAAGACAAAAATTGAAAGTAACATAAATAGATATTAGAGAGAAACAAAGAGCGTGAGTGAGTGAAACTGTAATGCCTCTGCTCTGTTAGTTTAAATCCTCTTCCTCTCCATCTAATCACTATTATTTATTGTTATTATCACACAATTATTATTATGGTAAATATATACATTTTCACAAAATCTTTAGTTCAAACAGTGTTGTACAAAGGGCAACAGTTTGAGAACATATAACTTCCCAGCCAGCAAGGCCACCCACCAGTTTAACCCTGGCTTCGCTTATGCTCCGTTGACTGAATAATCCTATTCTGTGGCTACAGGAAATTCTCGATTCTCTGGATTTGGTCTATTCAAACTTTAACCTCAGTGGATTTCCGTCATTCGGGTTCCACCTGAACCAATATTTTCACAACATGATAAACTGAGTGGAGGTTGAAATGGCAGCACTTCACTTTTTTCATAAAGTTGCTGTGTTTGGCAATAGAACCCCCAACAGACTCCATCGTAATGGCCTTTTGGTATATACTACACGCACAGATTGACATAGAAGCTCATACACACACTCTGACACGCACATAAACACATGCACTCATAGACGTACGTACCCACACTGACCACAAAGTGAAATATGGCTGGCTTGAACCCTCAGATGGATTTGGCTGCGTTGTTATTGGTTGGGATGGCATTTACTTGCTTGTTATTGGTAGAAGATGTGGAAAGGAAGAAGGAACAGCCTGGGGCTGAAAATCTAAAGATGGAGTGGTGGGGGTGGCATGAAAACTGACAAATGCATGCACATGTTAAAAACTGACACAAAAAAATACAGATGTGTTCGTGAATGCATGCACACACACATACAAAAACATTCCGGTGTGCATGCCCTCCTTTATTTACCTTACCAAATGACAACATCCTGTGTCAGTGACCCTAAGGCCCATATTACCACATTAACATAAATTCCCCAATATCCTGTTGGAACCCAAACACAACTGGAGCCGCTGGTCTTCATACCTGTGGAAACCTCATGTGCTACTCATGTGTACGTTTGCCTTCTACGTTGTTCACTTCTCACCACAAAAATTAGAGCGGACAGAAAGGACATTGTTATACAAGCTTGAGTACTATGCAGTATTTCTCAGGTAGCTACCATAGCTTATTATGCTAATGTGTACATTTTACATTCCATGTGCTTTGCAGAATTCTTGAGTATTTCATTTAGCTTTCATTTGACAGGTGCTGACAGCAGCTAACAGACACTGTCCTCCACATGTGGCCGCTTGAGGAGAACTCAACAAAAGCCATTCAAGTATAACTACGTTCTTCTCTTTTCTCGTGTGCATGTAAACCTCGCAGATAGCCAATTCTATGGTGAGCACATGGCAGGGCCCGCCGGCTATGAAGTCCCTGTTCACCCGGATGTTCTGCTGTAAGAGCTGCCCTAACATCGTCAAGACCAACAACTTCATCAACTTCCAGAGTTACTTCCTACAAAAGGTACACCAAACAGACAAAATACACTAACATCTTCATTAACCATCAAGTCACTCTTGACAGACTCTATAAACAAACTTGAACTCTCAGTCAAGGCCGTTGAGTTGGCTGTACAAGAAGAGCTCTGCAGATAAATCCGCATTGCCAATATTTTCGTTTTGGGGTATGTGTCGCCTGATTAAAAACAAGCTTCAGTACGGAAATACCACAAATATGTTTTCAGATTTATAAACAGTATTGCAGTTACATATTTAGCCTGGTCAAGTTTATTTTTCAGCTGTAAAATGGCCCAGTAACCTTCCTTGGGCATGACTGTGACACTCTGTGGCGTTATTGTTATCAGCCTCCAAATTCCAGTATCAGTTGGACTTTACTTACATGGCCAAGTCATGCACTTAAGCACATGAGCTATCAAATTGTGTTTCTCCAGCCTCATATTATGGTAACTGTTTTGTCTTTGTTTTCCATGCCAGACAATGCCTGTTGCCATGGCGCTAATCAGAGATGTCCAGAACCTCTGCCCCAAAGATGTCCTCAACTTCATCCTTGACCTCATCAAGTATAACGACAACCGCAAAAACAAAGTAAAGACACACATTAACACACTCTTCTTCTTCATCTGTTATGACTATGGCCAGAACCTTGCAAATGGTACACAGTATTTTTTATTTTCGGGGTAATCTGCGGCATCATAAACATTAACGGTTAAAAAATGTCTTTTGGCATATTAAACACCTAATAAGCAATTAGATTTGATGCCAACAGAAAACCAATTTAATTCCTCCTTCTTTTCCTTTTCTCTTTCCTCCCCCCTCCTGTCTGTGTTCAGTTCTCAGATAACTACTACCGTGCAGATCTGATCAAAGCGCTGACCAACTCTCTGACCCCAGCCATCAGCATCAACAATGAGGTACGGACAGTGGACAATTTAAACGCTGACGTTCGTCTCATCTTGGAGGAGATTACACGATTCCTGAATATGGAGAAACTGCTGCCGAGCTTCAGGAACACCATCACTGTCAGGTTAGGAGCAGAGTCTGTTTGTGGCTCTATTTGTTTCACTGGATGTTCTCCTGAAACATAGCTCTCTCCTGGCAGCTCTTCATCTCAGTTTTAAACAAAACATTATTTAAGGTGGTATGTTGCTTCTTATTGCTGTAGAACAGAGTAAAGAATCCTATCTAGTTTCCACTCAATCAGACCACATTCGCACTAATTCATATAGGACAATTAGCTTGACGTGTTCTTGCTATGAATTCTACCACAGTGGAAAATAATAGACAGAACACATTTGCACGGGATAAATTACCTGTAGTTTCTTTTAAACTGAAGTACGTAAGTCTTCCCAGGTTTAGCCTTTGCTTAAAATGCCCAAAAATAAGAATAAAGATTGGTCTTCCATCTAATGCAAATAATGCAGTAATATTTGAAAGAGTGTAGACTTGTTGATCTCTGAAATAAGTAGAGGAAATATATTTAAATATATGTTGAGATTGTAGATAAAGAAAACTTTCCATGCTCTCTGCTGATACAAATCATTGAATTTCTGGCATATTTATTTATCCTCCTATTTATAGTATTTGTATCAGCTCACCTTGTAATTGTTATCTTGTCAGGCAGCTGAAGCCAGTACAGCCTTACTTTTTTAGGTCGACTCCCAATGCACACCCATCTGCCACTGTCAGCTTAGCATATGAAATCACCAAAGTGGCAGTTAAAGTTTGTGGAGAAGCACGCTGGAGTCACAAGATTGGATTAATGTATTATTTATATACTATTTATCCAAAAGGAAGAGCAACTGTGGTATCATTTTGACACAGAAAGTGCGTTATGCATTTGTTTCGCATACAACTGCAATATCCCTCATTTTCCATCCCTCCAGTTGTCTGAGAGCGATTCGTCAGCTTCAGAAGAACGGTCACATTCCCAGTGACGCCTCACTCTTCAAGTCCTACGCAGAGTACGGACACTTTGTAGACGTTCGCATCGCTGCAGTGGAGGCTCTGGTGGACTATACTAGAGGTAGGACGTTTATTTTCTGGCTATTTGTAGACTAAACAACTAATCAATTCATTGAAAAATTAAATGACAGATTTAATGATACTGAACATAATGTGCGGGTGGCAACCCTATTTTGTAGGATGTGTAGTGATTCACCTTGCCTGCTCTGGGTTTTTACTGTAAAATTTATAACACTGACATTTTGACTGGTTTAAGAAAACACCAGTGGGCTTTTATTTTGGGACATCTTCAGTGTATGTCTTTTTTAGGGATGTTTGTTCATGTGATAGTGTCCTTTTTTTAGTTGTTGCATTCTCAACGGTTCAGACTTCGTGCGCATGGGGGATGTTGATTTCCTTTTTTGCAGTTGAAAGAAGTTCAGCAGAGCTGCAGTGGCTGCTCACCATGGTCCACAATGACCCGGTTCATTATGTCAGGTCAGCAGCTAGCACACACATGCACTCATTTAACACACATTCATGTTGTACATTACTTGTTTTGTATGTCACTACAGCTTGTACAAATGTGTTTACAGTTCTGTCATACAGTGCGTGTATGTCTTATACTTTTACGCAAGCAGCAGCTAGAATATTAGAGAAAAGAGCAAACATTACACTGATTACTTGCTCTCCCTGTAGTGCATTTACCCACCTGAATAAGTGATCATGCATGGGTACAGTTAACAACCTGACAAACCTCATGTTAAATGAATGTATAGCTGACAAGCAGCTAACTTTGATTTTGGTCTTCTTCTTCATCTTCGTTGTCCAATTAGACATGAGATCCTGAGCATGCTCTGTAAGAATCCACCTTTTACCAAGACAACAACAGACTCAGCTCTGTGTAATGAAGCTCTGGTCGACCAGCTCTGGAAGCTTATGAACTCAGCGTGCGACACCCCACACACACCACACACCCACACACACCACTGCACTTTTTATGAAAGACACAAGAATACTTAACAGTAGGGGTAGGGATATCACAATACCAGAAATGTAGTAGTCAGCACTAACAGTAACAACATTCCATGTACTTACACTCCTTTACTTAAACATTTGAACATTACAAACAACAGTAGCCTTCAAATAATAAATGAAAGAAACCACTGCTCATCATAGTCTTTTCTTGCTTTCCATCTTTACTGTTAGTTGATTGTTTTGTTTTCATATTGACCATCTGCCAATCAATATCAGCCTACAACTTTTTAACACATTTCTTTATCATCTGTGATGTGAAAACATCAGATTGTAGTCTACTTATAGTTGAGTTATAAAATAAAAAGTATCTCTCCGTCCTCTGAGACTGATGAAAGGCCAACAGGCTGTCACTGTTCTACTGTACGTGTAGAGTATTAGGCTTGTTTGAGGAGCTTGAGAGTGGATATGACCCAACCATATAGAAATAATTCACAACATTGATCTTACGCGGTTGGAAGTCTATTAGGAATGTGGTGAACAGAGAGAATTTGTTCTAGCTCGCCTGTGCACACTGGCTTCAAAAACACATTTTTCATCTTCCCTTTTTCTTGCACAGATTCAGTTGTGTATATGGTCACAAGGAAGCATTTGAGTTCTGAATGTGTAATTACCTGCTGAAGTGTCTTTTGCACTGAACCCATTTCATTGCATTGAAATACTCCCATTACTCATTATTCAGTTTGTATGATATGAAAGAGCAGCTGTCTCATCAGTTTAGGGGATGAAGTATAACTGATTACTGGATTCTAAATGGATCGAATGATCAATAGGTTTTGGCCAGTTGCTCTTTGGGTTTTTCACTCAAGAACAAATTACAGCTTAATTTCCCCTCTACTCTCATGTTGTAGGATCTAACCACTAATTGGCTGATCCAACCACAAGTAGGGGAAAGACACTTTTTAGAGTTCATTTAATACATGTTCATTTTTTATCTCACAATACTTGAATCACCAACACAGTGCATGCAACCAAGAAAACATTTTATTCACCAACATTTTTTGTATGGTTTCATCTGGCCCAATGCTCAAGTAAATCCCTTTTGAGTCAGAGAGTTTTCTCCCTGTAGAGGCACTGCAGAGATCTGAATATGTCTGTAGGCGACATTGGAATGAACTATTTCATCCTGTCGTTAGATATGTTTTACTGTCTGTCAACAGCAGTTCCTATTTGCCATGGCACTGAAAAACGCAAAAGCACAATATCTTTCACAGCAGGAGCCACTCTCATTTTCCCTGTTCACCCCTGGTTACACTGCGGCTTCAGACTTCTGAGGAGATATTTCACAACCTACGGGTTCTGTCTGAATGCTTCCAAAATCCAGAGTGGCTTCAGAAAGTACTGAGACCCTCTTCCAGATGTTGTTGTGTTGTGGTCTTCATTTAAAGTGTTTTTTTAAGAACTTCTAAAGCATTTAAAGGGCCACACAGTCATTCCCATTTTCTTTTTTTTTTTTGGATCAGGCAGACTAGATGCTGCAATGGCCTATTGCTATTACTGTTAGACTGTGGCGTAGAATTCCAGAACTGATGCAGTAATTATGCTAAAATTTGCTAATATACAACATGATGAAGTGATGACGTTTTACCCAAAGGGTCAAAGGTAACTTCACACTTCAATTTTATAAAATTGGTATCGAAAAAAAGTATCAAGGTATCGGTACCAGTTTAAAAAATGTTTTAACCATACCCAGCCCAACAGCAGCTCCATTGGAACCACTTCCTCTTTGAGGAAGGGCTTTGGTCAAGGAGGTCACCAAGATTCAAAACTGGTTTACCACCACACCTCTGGTTTACTAAACCATTATCAGTGTTTTTCACACATGCTTATTCAGATTGAATGGTTTATGTTGCCAATGTAGTTCAGTAGACAGCATCCAGTCCAACCAGAGACCCTTATAGTAGGATATGAGGATATATTCAGGCTTGGTACCTTTTATCTTTTATATTTTGATTTATAGACTGACATATTTTTTCATCTGACATCTGTTCTCATCTCATTGATAACACTTTCTTTTAGATGGACAAAGGCAGAGATGAATTAGTTTCCCCTTCCACATGTGTTTGCCTGGACAGACTTCTGTCAGACTACTAAACCAGTCAGCTGCTGCACAGCTCACTGACACACGACATTGTAATCCTCTGTAATCCACTACAATCTATCCCAAGGGCTTTTCAATTAAGTTTAAAGGAATCACAGTTAGTTGAAGAGTTGTGTCTGCTGTAAATTATTGTTTTCAAATGGCTGATGCAACACTGGTGTGGCTCAATCATTCTGGACATATCTTACACATTGCTCCTTTAATCAACTGAATGTTTCAGCACTTGTCCATAGAACTGAGCCTTTGTAGTGCCACAGTCAATGGTAAATCCTCATCATTGGTACCAATTGCTTACAGTATAAGCAGTCCCCATGTCAGGTCCCTGTAAAAATGTACTTCTTACAGCACTGCAGTGTGTTTTTTTTTTTTTCCCCAAATGACTCAGTTTGGGAGATGCCATTTTCCAGTCACAGCCATTTAGTGGGAATGCTGTTGGCTCTACTGTCCTCTTGTTCATTGTTCATTGGTGTGATGGTTGTTTCCTCCAGTCGCACGCCTTTGGTGCCGTCTGCCATATACGCACATGCTTCTGCTTTCTATTGTGTCCTCAGGTTTCATTATTTCTCTCTCTTCCAGGGGGTCCTATGTGGCTGTCAGTTAGCTAGCCAGCCCATAACAGTTCAGTCTGCCAATCCAAATACACACCACCTCAAAAAACCCACATATAAGTATATGTTCACCATTCCATATTCCTCAAAAACATTGGGCTCTCATTGCAACATGTTATTTAATTTATTGACGCGCAAGCTTGAAGGATGAAGAGAAATATTGATCATTATTTCCAGTGAACTTTTGTTTGTCGGTCAGTCCGTTTGTGTGGCTGCCGGGCAGCCTGACTGTATTGCCAGTTTAAACACAGAGTGACCAGAGTGTGGTAAGCTTAAATGCTATGTTGTGAAAATGTGTTGGTTGTTTTATTCCTCTGCCCCCCATAACCCACAGCCCCCCACGTGTTAAATACACACACTCACACAGGATGATGTTTCACTGGCTGAAGGTCAGTGCTGTAAGAACACAAACGCAGAGTGCTTTCTGCTGCTGTTAGAGTCATTTATTTCAACCTACTTCTAAAGCCACAGTCCACCCTCCATGCTAGGCGCCTGGCCTTTGGATTGTCAGCTTCAGCAATATTTGCCATTGAATTCCTTCCAACTTTTCAACACACCACTACTCAAATGACTCGTATAATGATGCATTTGGCTCTCATGTCATTGAGAGCTGATTATCTTGTATTTAGTTGTGCTCACATTGTCTCTGATGTCAGATAAAATGTGTGGTTAAGGAATATGCAGCTCAGGATTAATGGCTGGGTATACTCTGAAAAAAACCTCCTACCACAAACTGAGAAAAAGTGTTGATAGCTTTTCCGATCGACCATGCTCAAACACGGGGTGAGAAGCCTGCCGCCATGAGAGGGGCAAGATGTGATAATCGTTCAAGTGGAGATGTCAGTGCACATGCTTGGACAGTCTTTACTCCAAGGTGCTCGTGGTTTTTACACACAAGAAGTGAGAGCTTGAAAGAGGTGTTCAAATTGGCCACGACTGTCCGATTGTAACAAGGGGAGCCCGCATTTTAGTAACATTAGATAACTTGTCAGTTACAAAGTGAGGCAATGACCATTTACCCTCATTTTCAACTTCATTTGATCTTACTTATCAGCTTTGCCTCTTTCTTTCCTATCCCACTTGTCACTCCACCTCATCCTTCCTTTCCTCAGGTACCTCCCATGACTGGCGGCTGCGCTGTGATGCTGTGAACCTCTACTACACCTTGTTCGGTTTGACTCGGCCCTCCTGCCTGCCCCTGCCAGAACTGGGCCTCGTGCTCAACCTGAAGGAGAAGAAAGCTGTCCTAAATCCCACCATCAAACCAGAGCTGGGGGTCAGCACCGTAATGGACACACCTGCCAGTATAGGCATCCATGGTGTCGGCATGAGCTATGCAGCTGTGAGTAGTGGGGGGTCATTTGTCAGGGCAGTTTAGTGTAAATACAAAATGGACTTGATGAAGTTCTAATCGGACTACATTTTAAGTTTGTTCTTGACAGGTCATTCGTATTTTGACCAATTGTGTAGTTTCAGCCAACAGACACATTAGTTAAAGACCTACTACATCGCACAACAATCCAAGTTCCATTGGTTTGTATGCCAGTGGTGATGTAATCAGCAACTGCTAGGTGGTCTTTATTTCGCTCTCTTTCAGTGTCTCTGATTTAGTATTGCTACATAAAAGTTATCAGATGGCACACAGATAGCAGCTGATTCATAAAAACGCTGTATCTTAGGTTGGATCTATGTAATTATGGGTACTGCAGTGCTGCCAACACTGTTTGGCTGTACCTCATTTCCATTGCATCACCGTACCCAGAATGACTGTAAAGAGCACAATTCTGGCTATTTTGGCCATACAAACCTCTCTCTGACAGCTGATTTAAATCAGCTACAGTGCAGACTGAAGTGACATTTATTAATTCTTATTTGTTAAAAACTCTTATTGTTATCAATGTTACATTATTATTATCAGAAAAATATGTAAGTCATTGTACTACACATCCAAGTTTCATTGATTGTGTCTGCCAGGTGGATGAAGAGCCAGATCCTATTTCATTAGGGGTGTGTGGAGTGGGCCAGCCCCCTCAGGGCCTGAAGAGAAAGGCAGAGACCCCTCTGGGCTCCCCTCCAGAGCCAGGACAGATCCTGCAGCAACAGGATGATGATGGAAGAGGAGGACGCTACAAGATCAGGGTAACCGACTGCTCTGACATGACATTTGACCTCACTGTTTTGTTTCTACACTCCTGCTGTGCTTTACTTGCCACGTCCGTAACGTCTATAGATAAAAACAGCTCATTCTAAGGTAACAAAAACACCACAGTTCCTATATTCAGGTGATTCTTTTCCCCATCAGACTGTACAACAGCTCTCAGTAAAGGCAGGGAGGACAATAGACAATAGACAATGGACACTCGTTTTACCTCCATTTGCACTGTTTACTGTAGCTACTGTTAATTTATATTATACATAACAATTTTATTTTATTTTATATTTTATTTTTAGGGTTAGGGTTTTAATTTAGTTTAATGTGGTGTTTAATGTATGTAATGGTATGTTTTGTATTTTGGTGCTACTGGGATACTTGAATTTCCCTCGGGATAAATAAATCGTATCACTATCTATCTATCGCTATCTATCATCTATCTATCTATCGGTGATCGTTCGTATCGTCAGTATGGTATCATCTTGTATCTGGTTCTATGCATCTATCGATATGTATCTGATCTATCTATCGGTGTCTT